AAAAAAAAAAAAAAAAGGTAAGTTGGGAAAGGTAGTGGAGTGGGCAGAGGAAGAATGAGTCCCTAAAGGAATTTTCAAGGGATCTGCAGCAAAATCGTGGAACCCTGTGGAAAGCCAGCATCTGGCAACCATGTCAGTGTGCAAGAAGCTTCCTTACCGTAAGCCACAGGGGTCAGCTTCAGGACGGTGTGCAGTGGACACTTGAGGTAGGGCAGCTGTTCTGTGGACACAGATGGGGAGGGCTGGCATGCCAGGGACGCCCACACGACAGTCCCACTGTCTCTCTCACATACACACATCCCACCTCCCTGGGGGCCCGGCCCGCACCTGCGGCCTTATCCAGGAAGTAGGCCAGGAGGCAGCGCATCACAGCCTGGTGGCAGATGACCAGCACATTCTCTTGCCTCTCCAGCTCCATGATGACAGGCTCGAGCCGCTGGACCAGGTCCTCGTAAGACTGCAAGTGCAAGTGGGAAGGGTCCCTCAGGCCCTGCTCCAGGGGTAAGTGATGGAGACATCCTGGGTACCAGCTACCTCCTCGCTCCTAGGATGCTCACCATTCTGGGAGGTTGCAGCCTGGTATCCTCTAGCCTGGCCCCTGGGGACCCTCTAGGACAGTGAGATGTCCAGTTTGAGAGGGGAGCTGGGAGGGGAGAAAGATGGGCAGCCTGGGAAAGGGATTGCGTCCTCCACCCCAGGCCAGGTCCCCGGAGGACTAGAGGGCAGGGCTGGGCCTCAGGCTGCCATCCTAAGGGGCCACCTCTGTGCTCACCTACAGGGCCCTTGGCTGAACCCTCCACTGCTGGAACTCACATGCTGGCAACTGAGGACTGGTAGGAGGCACTGTGCCCTTCCAGCCCACAGTAGATGGAGTGCACAGAAAGAGCTGTGGGGGCAGGGGCAATAATGGCTCCCAAAACTTCCTGGAACAAGACCTGTCTGCATGCCTAAGGGGCCAGGAACAATGATCCTGGCAGTCTCCCTGCCCTGTGCCTCCCCTGGGTGCTGGGAGGTAGCTGACAAGGGACACCTTAGACCAATCCCTCAGCCATGAGGTTTAGAGATTTCCACCAGGAGACCGAGTCCTCTTTGCACACAACCAGCAAAACAAATGTCTCCAGCTGGGAGCTGAATGTGCCTCCACGCTCTGACTGAGAGCAATGCCTTGTAGTTCTGGAGGAATCCTAGATCAGTCCTTTTGGTAACTGCTATTTTCCTGTATTCTCAAGTCTGAACAGCCAGCTGCTTTACTCCTTTTTACTGTTATCTGGGTTAGTTTTAAATCTGAGCTCTGCCTCATAGTACAACAGGAAAAAAGTAATGCTACCCAGAGCTGTGCTTTTCCCGAAGACAGTGGGCCCAGAGTCTGGACTCTGGGGTGGGGATGGGGACTTCCGCATGTGTATGTGTAAGTGTGCATACACTTGTGTGTCTGTAGTGGTATCTTTATTTGGCCACCGCCCTAGGCCACCTCCTGGAAGTAGGAGATACTGGAGTCAAAGGCCACCTATTTCTGACCTGGGGCCTGGGCTGAAGCAGGAGCCAGCCTGAGGGAAGGAGACAAGAGCACATGGCTTATAGTGGTCACGACTCAACTGGGGAAGGTCTCCCTATGTCTGCATTCGGGGGCCTGTGTCTGGAGTCACAGGGAGGACACAATCCCTGTGATATCCCGGGGAAGGGAAAAAGGCAAAGGTAGGGAACACTGGGAAGCAGGGATCCAGAGTCTCAGGGGTGGGAGTCCCGTGCAGCACTGTCCATCCACTGTCCAAGGCGGGCAGGGACCGCGTGGCCTGGACCCCATGGCTGGGAGGTGATGGAGATGACATGCACACCCAGCCTGGCCAAACTCTGAGGTCAGACACCACCTACCGCCCACACAGCCTCCACAGAGCACCCCCCAGTGGTCCTGGGGTAGACGGCAGGTGGCTAAGCCCCCAAATCCCACCTACCTCCCCCTTGGGGTACCGGTACCGGTACTTGTCCTGGTCCCGCAGGGCAAACTCCAGTGGATAATGATCCTGAATTTCCTCGTAAGTCATTTCCTCACAGACGCCCTAGGGAGACACCGCGGTCATCACACCTCCCATGCCAGGCCTGGGGATCAGCCCTGTGTCGGGGGGAGGGCAGGCAGAGGGGATCAGGTTTACAGGGTATTTCCTGGGTCATAGGGGCCCTCCCAGCCCGGAACTTAGAATGCATCTGGGAAGACTAGGTCCGTGGGACTACTGAGCAAAGGGGGCAGCTTCTGGTTTGTAAAGAGCTACCAGGACAGTCTTTTCCATCCATCCAGTTTATGCCATAAAAATAAATACAGAGGGATGCTTAGGTGGCTCAGTCAGCTGAGCATCAGACTTCGGCTCAGGCCATGATCTCATGGCTAGTGAGTTCGAGCCCCACGTCAGGCTCTGTGCTGACAGCTCAGAGCCTGGAGCCTGCTTCAGATTCTGTGTCTCTGTCTCTCTCTGTCCCTCCCCAACTCATGTTCTGTCTCTGTCTCTGTCTCTCTCAAAAATAAATAAACATTAAAATAAAAAAATAAACATCGAAATCAAATAAATAAATAACACAGAATGTTAACTATGTGTCTTTTCTTGTGTCTTTTGTTTTCTGTGCTATAGAAATACTCTAAGTATGGATTGTTGTACAAGTTATAAAGCAAGATTTCACTTGTGTCTCTTCAGGATACACACACACTCACACGTAGCATAGATTACCTTATACAAATGCTATTTTTCTTTTAATGTTTATTTTTGAGAGAGAGAGAGACAGAGTGTGAGTGGGGGAGGGGCAGAGAGTGAAGGAAACAGAATCCAAAGCAGGCTCCAGGCTCCAAGCTGTCAGCACAGAGCCTGACATGGGGCTAACCGTGAGATCATGACCTGAGCTGAAGTCAGACGCATAACTGACTGAGCCACCCAGGCACCCCTACAAATGCTATTTTTTAAAAATCCATCAAAGAAGAACACTGGTTGAGAACACCAAAGTGTGATTTAAGGGTACTGAGAGAGGAAGTAATAAAATGCCCTAATAAAAAGCTACTGAGGGGCGCCTGAGTGGCTTAGTCAGTTGAGTGTCCAACTTCAGCTCAGGTCATGATCTCATAGTTCATGGGTTCGAGACTCGAGATGGGCTCTGTGCTGACCACTTGGGGCCTGGAGCCTGCTTCAGATTCTGTGTCTCCTCTCTGCCCCTCCCCTCACTTGTGCTCTTTCTCTCT